CAAAAGTTAATTAATTAATAATATCAATAAAAACATGACAAAGAAAGGAAGTTATAGGTCAATATCCATGGTGAACATAGATGTTAAAATCCTCAACAAAATACTAGCCAACCAAATCCAGCAATACATTAAAAAGGTCATACACCATGATCAAGTGGGATTTAATTCAGGAATGCAAGGTTGGGACAATATTTGCAAATCAATAAATGTGATGCACCACATAAACAAAATGAAAGATAAAAACCACCTAATCATTTCAATAAATGCAGAAAAAGCATTTTATAAAATCCAGCACCCATTTATGATAAAAACTCTCAGCAAAGGGGTAATAGAAAGAATATACCTCAATGTAATAAAGGCCATAGGATAAACCCACAGCCAAAATCATACTCAATGGGTAAAAATTACAACATTTCCCTTAAGAAGTGGAACAGGACAAGGATATCCGCTTTCCCCACTGTTATTCAATATAGTACTACAAGTCCTAGCTATAGCAATCAGACTAGAAGAAGAAATAAGTGTCATCCAAATTGGAAAAGAAGAAGTAAAACTGGCATTATTTGCAGATGACATCATACTGTATATGGTGGAACCCTAAAGATTCCACCATAAAACTACTAGAACTGATAAATGAATTCAGTAAAGTAGCAGAATACAAAATAATTATTCAGAAATCATAGCTGCATTTTTATACACCAATAATGAGCTATCAGAAAGGGAAAATAAGGAAACAATCCCATTTACAATTGCTTCAAAAAAATTAAATACCTATGAATAAATTTAAGTAAGGATGTAAAAGACCTGCACCTGGAAAATTACAAGACACTGAAGAAAGAAATTGAGGAAGATACAAATAAGTGAAAGCATATACTAGGTTCATGGGTAGGAAAAATTAACTCATTAAAATGTCCATATTTCCCAAAGCAATCTATAAGTTCAAATAATTGCTATCATGATATCAATGGCATATTTCACAGAACTAGAACAAATATTCCAAAAATGTATATGGAACCACAAAAGATCCCTAATAGCCACAGCAATCTTAAGAAAGAAGAACAAATTTGGAGGAATCATGATACCTTATATAAAACTATACTACAAGGCCATAGTAAACAAAACAGCATGGTACTGACATACAAATAAACATAAACCAATGTAACAGAGAGCTCGGAAATAAACCCACGCCTTTATAGTCTATTAATATTTGACAAAGGAGGCCAAAACATACAATGGGGTGAAGATAGTCTATTCAATAAATGGTGTTGGGAAAATTGGCGAAAAAAAATGAAACTAGACCACCTTCTTACATTAAAGAATAATGTCAAAATAGATTAACGACTTAAATGTTAGACTTAAAACCATAAAAATCATAGATGAACATAAAGGCAGTAAAATCTTGAACATTTGTTTAAAAAAATTGTTTTAATCCTCACCCAAGGATTTATTTTTTTCATTGATTTTTTGAGAAAGTGGAAGAGAAAGGAGGGGAGCAGAGAGAGAAAGAGAGAAACAGCAATTGGTTGCCTTCTGAATGTGCCCTGACCGGGGCCTGGGATTTAACCTGCATCCCAGGTACATGCCCTTAACTGAGAATCGAACCCATGACCCTTTGGTCCATGGGCCAACATTCTAACCACTGAGCCACACCAGCCAGGCAAAAATCTCAGATATTTCTCATAGCAATATTATTTTTGATGTATTGCCTTGGGCAAGGGAGATTTTAAAAAGTAAACAAACTAAAATGTTTTTGCACAGCAAGATAAACTATCAACAAAATGAAAAGAAAACCCATGAATGCAAGAACACATTTGCTGGTACTTCTGATATGGTGTTAATATCCAAAATTCATAAAACTCAACATAAAAAAACAAACAATCCAGTTAAAAAATGGACTGAAGACCTGAATAGATACTTCTCCAAAGAGGACATATAAATGGCCAATAGACATAAGAAAAGATGCTCAACGTCACTCATCATCAGAGAGAGGCAAATTAAAACAACTATGAGGTATCACCTCATACCTTCCAGAATGGTTGCCATCAAGAAATCATCAAACAACAAGTGTTGGCAAGGGTGTGGAGAAAAGTGGACTCTAGTACACTGCTGGTGGGGATGCAGACTGGTGCAGCCACTATGAAAAACAATATAAAGTTTCCTCAAAAACTTAAAAGGTGAACTGCCTTATGACCCTTCGATTCCACTTCTGAGAATATATCCAAAGAAACCTGACACACTAATTTGAAAGAATATATGCACCCCTGTGTTCATTGTAGCATTGTTTACAATAGTCAAGATTTGGAAGCAGTTCAATTGTCCATCAGTAGATTAGTGGATAAAAAAAAGCTGTGATAGACACATTTACAGAATGAAATACTAAGTCAGTCATAGAAAGAAAGAAATCTTACCCTTTGGGAGAGCATGAATGGAGCTGGAGAGCATCATGCTAAGTGAAATGAGCCAGTCAGAGAAAAACAAATGAACAGAATGAACTAACAAGCAAAATGAAGACAGACTGATAGACAGCAGGCTACAGCTGTGGGAGTGGTTGGTTGGGGGTATGGATGGGGGTGGGTGGAGGGATTGAACAAAAAAAAAAAAAAAAAGAGAAAATTCTCCTGGAGACCGACAACAACAACAACAGTGTGGTGATTGCTGGGGGTGGGAGTGGTGGTGGGACATGGAGAGGGGATGAGGAATCAACGGTGGTGGAAGGAGATCTGACTTGGGGTGGTGAACACACACTGCAGTGTACAGAACATGTTGTGTAATTGTGCATCTTAGACCTGTATCATTTTGTTAATTAGTGTCACCCCAATAAATTCAATAAAAAGGATAAAAAGAAATAAAAGGGGGAGTATGTACTTTGAAAGATTTGAGCCATCATTTGTGACAATTACGTGAATGTCGCAAAATTAAAATCTAAATGTCAGTAAGTGTATTGTCTCATATCCCAAATCGACTATCGTTAAAATCACGATTAACCATGAAATGAGCAGATGACATTCTCATTTTAAATTTTATCCTCCCTGCTATTCCACTAGTATTTTTTTTTAAATCACGAAATAATGTTAAAATGAATCTTGAGGCAGGATTGAGAGAGGTGGCTAAGACAAGGAATCCCAAAAGCAAACCTTGAAGAGGAGCCAGATTTTCCTTTATGAATGAAGAGTGGCTAAACGGAGTTGAAATGGGGAAGGAGAAAATGCCTTGAATGCATTGTAGGCAATGACTCCCAGGTCTATTTTTAGTACCATCTAACAGATCCCCATGTGTGCCTGTCATCCGGGCCAACCAGTACCGTCTAGGACTTTGGGGCTGGCCACTTAGTATACAAAGGCTCTGCTCGGATTATTAGAAGGAGTGCTTCTGCAATAATCATACCCTTCCCTCTGGTACAAATTAGATATTACCATTTTTACTAATTACAGGCTAGTGGCTCCAGCACCCTCCCAATAGTAAACTGCTTTGAGACAGCAGCTGGAAACTGGGGTAGTAAAGTAAATCCAGAAGAGGCTCATCAAACTTTTCTCGCCCATTAAATGAAAATAAAATATTATATTTGTGAAGTTCTATGGAAGAAAAAACGGAAAAGATAGCTCAAGTTGCTTAGTAAAGAGAATTTTGCAATCAAAACACCACCACACATCAGCCACAGTTAAAACAAAAATGCAATCAGGAAAATTACTTGGAATGTTCGTGTTTACTTCCAGTTTTCAAATTAGAGCATCAAGTTCCTTTGGGTTGTCATTCAAATTTTCTCTTCCTCTCTTGATTCCTATAAATGTAGTAGCTGATAAACTCCTTTCTTTAGAAGTAGAATTATTATCCCAAAACTGACATCTTTTTTTTCCTTTCCTGAGAACTTCATTGCTTGTATGATTCCCAGAAATCACAAGCACATCTAGTTCAAGTTCTTAATTCAATAGAAACTCATTTCTGCTTTTAAAACTATCATGTAAAATCTCTGCTGAGTACTATTGAACTACTTTAGTTTATAAGTCATTTAACCCTACATTGAATGAGTTTGAATGCTTCTTACAGGTCATCCAGGTCAATCAATTTCTCGTCTCAACCAGAACCTTTCTACACAGCATCCTTGACAAATCCTGTTTCAGCTTGGGTTTTAGTGACTTGGTACTCAGTGCTTTGTGAGTAACACCACTTGGAAAGCTGGTGTACAAAGCCCTTTCTTATATTTATCCCCATCCCCCAACCTTCTATTTGCCTAGTTGTATCTTTTGGAATATACAGAATGTTTATTCCTTGAGCTGGGCTTGTACATCAAATAGTTGAGTGTCAGTGGACAGGTTAAAAAATGTTCTTACAGAACACAAGTGTCCACATTATCACATAGTTTAAATTTTGTTCTAATTGCCTTTACTTCTTCCTTCCTTTCTTTTTCTGGATGATCTTTTTTCTTCTGTCTTTCCTTTAAATGGAGAAAACATGATCAACCCAGGAGGCACAGGAAGGTAAGTGCTGGGGTTAGAGCACAAGACACCTTTACCTCTGGTACTGTGACAAACTGCAAGGAAAGGGGAACTACCCATTTTCCTTCCCCGCACTCTCCAACCTCGCCACATTGATTCTTTTAAACATTGAAAAAAATTCAATTATAGCTGACATCAATTTAATATTAGTTTCAGGTGTACAACATAGTGATTCAACATTTATATAACTTATGAAGTGAACTTCCCATAAGTCTAGTACCCATCTGACACCGAAGTTACCACAATATTATTGACTATTTCCCTATGCTGTACTATACAACCCTGTGCCTAGTTTAATAACTGCCAATTTGTACTTCTTAATCTCTTCCGCTCTTTCATCTATCCCCCCTACATTCTCTCCTATCTGGCAACGATCAATTTGTTCTCTGTATCTGTGAGCATTTTTCTGCTCCCCTACCTACCCTGATCCATCATATTCTTTAAGTGTGTGTGTAATCATTTCCGATCAAATTCCAACCCCAACCTTGGGCTCCACTTCCCAGTTGGGGCATGACAGTAACGACAACATAAATCTCAATTCAGGAAGAGGGGCCTAGATCAGAGGCCTTATTGGCTCAAAAGGTGTGTCCAAGACCAGCATCAACTTACTTTGCCAGACACCAGCCAACAGCGCAGAGTGAACTTCGCACTCTGGCCTCCAGGGGGAGCGCGCGCCCCCCCAGCAGGTTTTCTGGGGGCGTGGGCGCGAGGGCGCGGGCGAGGGACCCCTGCAGGGCTGGGCGTCCGTGTCTTCTAGGGTGCGCGGGTCGCGTTGGAGGCCATGGGCGACAAGTATGCTACTCTGCGGCGGGCGAAGCTGCATCTGGATTTCATCCACGCCAACTCGTGAGTGACTCCGGGAGCCTGAACGAGGGCCGGCGGCGGTGGGGCGGTGGCGGCGGGGGCGGCGGTGGCGGTGGCGGTGGCGGTGGCGGCGGGGGAGGGTCTCAGGGAAGAGTTTGGTCTGTCGTAGTGAAATACGAACGAGGTGCCCTTGACTTACAGAAATTTTATTTATTTATCTGAAGTTGTTTATGCTTTTTCCCTGACCAGTGTGGCCTGAGCCCGCGCACCAAAGGGTCACGGGTTCGATTCCCGGTCTAGGGCACGTACTTGGGTTGCAGGTTCGATCCCGGCCTGTGGGCTCTTCAGGGCTCCTGCAGGAGGCGGCATCGAAATTTCTCTCCGCTCCCCTTATACTCTTTAAAAAATTAATGGAAAAAAATCTTCAGGTGAGGATTTTAATAAAGTTATTTATGCTTTAAGAAGAAAAATAATAAGAACAATAAAAATATATATTCTGGGCCAGACTAAACCTTTTTTTTCCTCACGAACACCAAGTGGTAGGAGGCCCTACATTTAACATTTAACAAAACTGTGTGATTGTAGACCAGCAGAACCCTCATTCCACCAGGGTTGCCTATCTGTAGTGATTTTCTGCCCAATATCCAGACATTTTAAAGATTAAGTTGCCTCCAGAGTTTAATTTGTATTTATTGATTCCAGCCTCTGTGTCCCCTAGAGCCTTTCCAAATTTGTAACCTCTCCGTGGATAGAATTCTCACATTTTAGTTATTACGAAGGCACTCATTCTCTGTCAGGCCCATATGCCTCTTGGCTACTGATTAGGTGTTATTTCAGGCACTCAGATTGCAGAGGAAGGTGACGAGGTTTCCTGTCCACCGTCACTCCCAACACGGCCAAGCAGGGCAGAGTGCTGTGCAATGCACGGTGGTATGTTGTTTCCTGGGGTCTTTCCGTGCTTTGGATTTACTAAACATGCTCATTGATAGAAAGCAGCGATTTACACCTACACCAGATGGCTACTGTTGTGTTGGCTGTTGTCATTTTTTAGTTTGACAGTCTAAGGAAAACCGTCAGGTATTGCACCTTTAAGAATTCTGTGGCTCACCAGTTGAAAATCGCCGATGCGAAGATGCACCCGATTTGAAACCACAGAAAAGTGTAAAGAAAACCAGGGAAAGCCAGCCTTGCTCTGTGGGAAGTTACAATCTCTACAGAAAATACGGGTAAAACAGGCAGTATTCAGCAGATATGTAATTTTCATTTCTCTGTCATGGAGAATGATTTCAAGCTGGAAGCCATGGGACAGTTAATTAAAAGCTGACAGAGGTGGAAGACAAATGAGGAAATGGCGATTGTGAGTTGCGTTTTAGAAAATATCATAAGCAGAGTGCTGGAAGGACTGCGAACCTGATCTTGGGAAATTTCCTCAGCCTCAGTTCTGTGTAGTTTCTGCAGGTGTTGCTCCTGGCCTCCTCCTCCCCAGCCCCCCAGTCATCATCTGTGGTCTGGAAACTGAGTAACAGAAGTGAGAGCAGCTCGGGCAGCAGGAGCAGAATCAGATATAAATGGGCATCTCGTCCCCTAGGTCATTTGTTTGAGACTTCCTTCAGTGAAAATGGGTGATTTTGTAATTCTCCCTTGCTTCTTCACCCCCTACCCTATCCATCGCCAAGCCCCCTTCATGCTGTCTACCTAGGTCTCAAATTCATCTGTTCCTCCCCATCTCCACAACCATTGACTTGTCCACACCACTGCCGTCTCCCTTCTGAACTCCTCCACATAGCCTCTAAATTGGGTTCCCTGCTTCCTAGTCTTGCTCCCCAAATGGTACATTTTCCTGAAAGCTGTCAGTGTGAGCTTTTTAAAAAAGTAAACCAGACACGTCACTCTTCTTAAAACATGGCGGTGGTGTCCAGGTGCATGGAAACTGCAAAGAAGCTCCAGCCATCCCACTGTCCACACCATCGCCCATTTGATCAGAGCCAGAGCAGACGGCCTCCTCGGCTCTTTTCTGCTCCAAGGTCTTGGCATCTCCTGCTCTTGCTGGGAGTTCCTACTTTGGCTGAGAGAAGGAGGGAGTTCTCCTCCTTCAGGGCTCTGTTTAAATGCTTTCCATGAGGAGGGTCTCTCACCAACCACCATGCCCTCTCCTCACCAGTTCTTTTTCCTGTCTTCCTTCCTTCTTAGCTCTTAATCACAATGTCACATCATCTTAACGTGTTTGCTGAATTGTGCATTTTCTATACCCCCCACTAGCTCGAGCTCCCAAAGGATAAAGACTATGCCCCATTGTAGCAACTCCTACTGCATTTGGGGGGGGGGGCTTCAGAGTGATTGCAATGACTTTCCTGAAGGATTGCTTGAGTTTTTGTATATTGAATCCTGTGTTTTAAATTCACTAGAAAGGCTTTGGTTTAAATGCTACTTTTGTAAAGCATATCACCTACACATCCCCTTTGCTTTTTTTTAGATTTTTATAGACTAACTTTTTTGAATGAAGAACACCTGTGTGCAACGATAGTGTTTACTAGTTTTTTTAATTACTAACTTGAAAACTAACTTGAATCAAGAGTGCCCTCATCAGCATGTAAATAAACTTTAAAATTCAATAAAAAATGGATATAAGTATATAATATTTAAAAATAAATTTCCAGCTACCATGTTGTCCTGTAGCCTGAGGTATTGGCTCCCTGAGACACTGCAGATGGTCCTTCCTCCTGTACACATGAGCACATGTTTTTTGATAAAGGGTGTCTATTGCTTTTGCTCCCTGTTTACTAAATATAAAAAGATAATTGCCTACTGAATCTTCCCTTAATGCTGGGATAAGTTTGCTGATTGAAATACACACAGCAGCAAATGAAAAGCAAGTGTGAGACCCTGAAGCAGTCTGATTTCACCCACAGATGACTATCCATCCTTCAGGGTAAGTGGAGATGGCCGTGTGGTGTGTTCTGTTGTCCAGGACCTGGCACAAGAGTGTATAGGACACAGTAACCGCAGGCAATTCGTGATGTTATTTAAGGAGCAGGCTTTTCAGATGTGAAAAGGTTCTACAGAGAAATATAGATCAGTGGGGCGGTCCCCTGCTAGAGCCTGTTGCCTGCACATGGGGTCTGAGGGCCTTCAGTGGGCCAGGTTTTTGTTTTGTTTGTTTTAACTATGTATATATGAAAATATATACACACGTGTGCGCGCACACACACACGCACACACACACACCCCGCCTTCACTGCACTATTTTCTATATCCATGGGTTATGTATATATGCATATAAGTTCTTTGGTTTATCTTTTCCTGTCCCCCATCCCTCCTTCCCTCTGAGGTTCATCAGTCTGTTCCCTACATCCATGTCTGTGAATCTATTTTCTTTGTCAGTTTATTTTGTTCAGTAGATTACACACGAGAGATCATGTGATACTTGTCTTTCTCTGATTGGCTTATTTTGCTTCACATAATAGTCTTTAGGTCCCTCCATGCTGTCTCAAAGGGTAAGAGATCCTTCATCTATCACGGCTTTTTTATCCACTCATCTGCTGATGGGCTAGATCTTAGCTATTGTAGATAGCACTGCTATGAACGGCATATATTCTTTCCGATTGGTGTGGGCCAGGGTTTTGATCAGGATGTTTTAGAAATAATTTGGCCTTAAAAATATAATTTTAATGAAAAATTGCTTGAAAAATCTTGAATGAAGTCTTACAAAGCAGTTTAAAATGCCAGCATTTGCTCTGAGTACAGTGAGGCTCGTGAAGCCGTGTTCCACTGGGCGTAGACAGGATGCTGTGGTCGTCATGCTTTCAGCCCTGGCTCTGCAGTGGAGCATCTACTGCTGAATCCTGACGGTGCTGAGAAAGTTGTTTCTAGAAGAACTCCTTAATGGAGTATGTGCCTAGACCTGGAGAGCATGTCTCTGCAACCTTCTTGAACCTTTTTCACTGATTCCAGAGTAGTTTAACTTTTGGGTTTCCCTCTGTTTCTTCCTCAGCACCACGCACAGTTTCCTTTTTGGAGCCCTGGCTGAATTGCTGGACAATGCAAGGTAAGGCTCATTGGTGGACAAAGGTCACTACGGGAACCTCATACAGATCCAGGCTTTTTATATTTAAAGATGCAAAGACAGTGTCATTTTCCCCCCACCTGCAATATTTTGTGAATTGACTTGCTATAAAAACAAAGTACTATAGGAAAAAGAACAGGTAAGAGGAGGAATATTCACTTTGTCTTTATGAACAAACTTGAAGTGCCGGTAAGTTGGATGTCTGTTTCTGTGTTAATAAGCATGTAACAGCAGATAGTCATGTGGATGATATTTTGAGTTATAGATCAATGTATATACTGTGTCTTGAGAATTTTTGAGTTTGGGCATTTATTGAAGTCTGCATAGTTAAGAGAATTGCATACTTAAGGAGACAATAGCTCATTGTTGTTGATCTCTTCCTCTGTATTAGACCCTGTTCTGTGTATCTGATAGAAAGGTATTAACTCTTTCATCTTCACAACAGGTATGCTGAGGTGGTTGTAATTGTCTCAATTCTACAGATGTGGACATTGATGCACAGAGAGGTTAGATGACTTAATCAGGGTCATACAATTGACATTGGCAGAGGTAGAATTCACATTTAGTCAGTCTGGCTACAGAACTCCCCAGCCCCATTTTACGGTCTCTGATAAAGGCAGTGATGTTTAAAGACACCTCTTTAACAATTTAAGGGCCTACTTAAGTGTGTTTGTAGGGCTTGTGAGTGAGTCAGTGGTCAGCTACTTGAATATGGCACTGAATTTGTTTTATATTTGTATTTTCCTATAACAGACAATTTTACTTACCTTTTATGCAGAAAGCAGTCTACCCAGGAGGTAGTAGGCTATTGTTAGATCAGTGATCTCACTAGAGAGACCTAGACTCCCTGCCATGGATTGATAAATGGATTTTAACTTTTTGCATCTGGTCCCCCACTTATGGCCTAAGAAGGGAGATGACAGAGTGTGAATGCAGGATGTAGTCAGTTAACCAGCCTTCCAGAACTTTCTGCACAGCAATGCCCAGTACTGAGTAAAATGCTACTAGCTCCTCCTTATACGAAATCCTTTCTCCGTAGAACTAATGGAATCGCAGTTATCACAGAAAGGTAGTGGAGAGGAGAAAAGAATAAAGTTAATTGGTCAGGCCCTGGCCGGTTTGGCTCAGCGGTTAGAGTGTCGGCCTGTGGTCCTAAGAGACCCGGGTTCGGTTCCCGCTAAGGGCGTGTACCTCGGTTGCAGTTTGTCCCCGGCCCTGGTCGGTCGTGCGGGTGGCAGCCACTCGATGTGTTCCTTTCGCATCGATGTTTCTCTCTCTCCTTCTGTTCCTCTCTCTCCCTCCCACTCTACCTGAACAAAAAAAGGAAAAATGTCCTCCGGTGAGGATTAAAAATAAATAAATAAATAAATAAATAAATAAATAAATAAATAAAGTTAATTGGTCAGGAGAGCCCTGAACTCAACTTAGAAGGAGCCAACCGGGAAGGGGCCAAGACTCATGGACATTCGTGGTTAGTCTCTCCACAGGATTTCATGGCTGCTGCTGTTTGTTTTGCCCACATCTCTGCAGCAAGGCTCCTTGGTGTCCATTAGTCCTTCCTCCTACTGAATGTCCATTTCAGCACCTTGATGTCTGTAACTTGAAAGCAGACATTTGTTACTCTGAAAGAACACGTGTCTATTTTGCCAACTGCCTTCTCCTCTGAATTGTTTCACTCATTCATTCAATAGTGAGGACAGGTAAAATCAGAAGGCAGAAGAAATAGAACAACGGGAATAGTTTGTGTAGCAGAGGGAGACTGAGTGATTGGCAAAGAAAGATTGAGTTCAGATTCAGGGGAGTGAGAGAATTGTAATCAATAAAGGAATTCTTAGAGCAACTTTGGTAACTGGCAGCCCCTGACCAAGTCCTGCCTGTCTCACGTTTGTTTGATTTATAGTGAAAGTTCACATTGTGTTTATAAAGAAAAGGAAGAGCCCAGCTGGTGTGGCTCAATGGTTGAGCATAGACCCATGCACCAAGAGGTCGCTGGTTTGATTCCCAGTCAGGGCACATGCCCAAGCTGTGGGCCCAATCCCCCATGGGGGGCATGCAGGAGGTGGCCAATCAATGTTTCTCTCTCTTTCTCCCTCTCTCTAAAATCAATAATTTAAAAAAAAAAGGAGGATTTGTTTGTTAAGTTAAAGAAATAGGAGGTACCACATAAAAAAGCTGGATCCCCCATTTTTATCGTTGTTGTTGTTTTAAAGATAAGGAGCAGCAACCTTGAGGCTGCATCCCAAAGGGATCAGGTGCGTAGCAGGTGCTTTCTTGAGTCTAGCCTGTGCCTTCAGCTCTGCCATTCCTGATGCCCCTAGACAGCCTGAACCCCTCAGTCCCTCTGTCCTCAGTGGACACATGGCTGTGCCACCTCTGCTTAGATGCTAGTGTTTGATATCCATTTGAGCTGTTTAACAGACTCATTCAAGATGATCATTGGTCTCAGAGGAAAGTCTGCATATAGTCTCGTGTTATTCTAAAAAATATTTTATATTTTTATTCAAGATTTTGATGATTTTGCATAGTTTTCAAAAATAGAACCAGAAGACCTAACCTCTGACCTAGAGAAAACCATTGTTAACATCCTGAGTTCTTTCATTAGAGAAATGCACCTGTACACTATATGTGTTCTTAAAAATGTGTTCATGCAGTGTGTTATACTCAGTAATTTGCTTTTTCTTTTCACTTTTTGTAAAAAAAAAAAATGTTTTTATTGATTTTTTTAGAGGAAGGGAGAGGGGAGAGAAACATTTATGTGAGAGAGAAATATTGATTGTCTGCCTCCTACACATCCCCTACTGGGTATCAAGTCCCAGCTGCCTCCTGCATGCCCCATGGGGATCAAGCCAGAAACCCCGGGCAGACATGTGCCCTGACTAGGAATCGAACAGGTGACCTCTCGGTCAATGGGACAACGCTCAATCCACTGAGCCACACCAGCCAGGCTTTTCACCTTTTATTAGAACTTAAATACATCATGAAAATCTTTCTTTGATTTCTAGATTATTCTCTAAGCTTTTTTTAAACAAAATTTGTATTTATTTTGTTGAACCTTTTTTAAAATTACCATTAATGCCACCTCTTCTTTTAATTTCTGACTTTCAGGCTTTGTAACATTCTCAAATTGTAAGTGATCATAGGTCTTAGTATATAATTTCAGAGTGAAACATTTTAGTAATTAATGTTCCTGAGGCAGTTTAAGTGGATTTCTTTATTGTTTGCTACCTGATAATAGGCTCTGCCTCATGTAAGCAGTTCAGATTAATGTAATTTTTAAAAACAATTTCACATTGAAGCAGTGATATTTTTATATTGATTTCAGAGATGCGGGGGCTGCGAGGCTGGATGTGTTTTCAGGTGAGCAGATTTGCTTTTTTCTTCATGTAAAAGCCTATGGTTGTTTTGCTTTTGTTTTATTCCATGAAATCCCACACATTCTATAGATCTGTAAGGTAAGGTAAGTGCTTTGTTTTTTTTTGTTTTTTTTCTTTATTGTTTTTTAGAGTGAGAGGAAGGGAGAGAGAGAAACATCAATGAGAGAGAACATTGATTGGCTGCCTCCTGCATGCCCCCCACTGGGGATTTGGCCCACAACCTGGGCATGTGCCCTGACCAGGAATCAAACCGGTGACCTCTTGGTACAGGGGTCGATGCTCAACCACTGAGCCACACCAGCCGGGCAGGTAAGTGCTTTGTGACGACAGTGTCTCCATGGGGGCCCGGTTGAGAAAAGCACACTGCAGAAGTGACATTGTTCACTTTGAGGGAACCTCTTTACAAAGTCATATCGTTCAGGGTTTTGTGAAAGCAGCGGAGTGATTTGGAACATTTGCTTTGTCTCCCACGAGAAACAGTTTTATTTTTAAAAGAATGTTAACTAAAAAAATATTTATAATTATGTATACATCATTCTCAATGTATCACAGTTTTAAAATGCATAAATGAAGATGCAGTATGAATGTTCGAGTGCTATAAAAAAAATGCACACCAAATATATTTTCTTCTTCAACATCATTTTCAGTTTATTTATTTATTGCGCTTATTAGTTCATTTCATAGAATATGATGCAAATGTTGTTAGGTTCTGTAATCCATTCCTGTAGTCAGCACCACCTGGAAAAGGCCTGTGGTGATAAAAGTGATCCCACTCCCAACTCTGTGAGGTTTCCTGTAAATACTGTGTATTGCTCCCAGGCAAGAGAATACAGTCCATGGTGTCAACCCATATCTGTATTTTAAAAGCTGCTCAGTTCATTCCAGTTTTCTAGGTGTTTAAGATCCTGTGCAAGTGGGTGTTTATGGATCACCAGGGAGAGAGAGAGACATCTTGAGAGATCTGATGAAACATAAATGACAGTATTCTTCCCTTTGTATTCTCCAAATTCTGAGAAGTGAGAGATACAACCAGAGTCATTCTTTATTACTGGTAAGTGCTAGGTTGGAGTATGGAGCTCAGTGTACGAGAGCTAGCCCACGTGCTGATCAAAGCCCAGGACCAGGGGCTTGCCCACCAGTGGAGTCAGGCTTCCCCTCGGAGCTGGTCTGCCCTGAGGAAGGGGAGGGGACCTCTGTTCTCTGCAGGCAACTCTGAGACAGAAATGCCAGGTCTCAGCAGAATTTCCCCAAATCACCGGTCAGATGAGTGAGCTCACTGCCATCGGGGAAAGTGAGTCAAGGCGACAGAGAGGGCCTCTTTACTAATAGTGATTGGACTCCATTCCACAGGGAACAGCAGTAGTGGAGAGAGGTCATCTTCCCTTATGTACCCAGTTGATAGAGTAAAATAGAACAAGCATCTCTTGCCCAGGAGAGGATCAAATATGGTGGGAACACAGAAAGAATACATCATGCTAAAGTGCTGGGAACTGAAATATGGATGTGATTTTTGTCAGGCAGTGTAGGAAGAAAAGAATATTCGTGTCTGAGGAATTATCATGAGGAAAAGAATAGAGGTAGAGTAGTTCGGAGGCTCATTCATGTATT